TGTGTCTCACCGTGACCCTCCAGGCGGATGTCGACCATCCAGAATCTCAGGAGGTCTTTGATTAGAAACTGGAGGCCTGTTTGCAGTGCGGTAGGGTCTGCAGTCCCTAGGGCCGAGCCTGCCCCTTTCCCCTCCCCCCTGCCTCCAGTCTCCGGCGGGGCTGGGCCGGTCCGCAGCATGCGAGCTCTTCTCAGGACTTTCTCGGTCCCTTTGTTCTGCGAACGGCCAGCAGTGTGTTCGGGCCGGTTAATTTTCTCTCTCTCTTTTGCTGTCCCACAGTTTAAGTTGGTAACTCACAAAAGCTCCCTCCGATTGTCCTCAGGGCACTCAGGCCCAGTCCTTACCCTAAGCAATGCCGCCCGCTCCTCTCCGTTCTGCCCCCCCTTGCTGATGGCGGATGCGGGTGTCTGGGGTACTCTCCTGCTGGGAGTTGCTTTTAGGCACGTAATCTGTAGGTTTTATTTATTGTTCCCCTCCCAGTCAGGTTGCCCTCTGAGATTCAAAAACTTCCCCCAGACCCTCCAGTGCGAGGGTTTCCTGGTGTTTGGAAACTTCCTCTATTAAGACTCCCTTCCCGGGACGGATCTCCATCCCTAGCTCTTTTGTCTCTCTTTTTATCTTTTATATTTTGTCCTACCTCCTTTCGAAGACAATGGGTTGCTTTTCTGGGCGCCTGATGACGTCAGCTAGCGATCAGAAGTTGTTTTGTGAAGTTTGCTCTGCGTTCAGTTATTCTTTTGATGAATTTGTAGGAGAGAAAGTGGCCTCCTCATCCTATTCCTCCGCCATCTTGGCTCCTCTCCTCCTTGGCCATGTTTGATATACCCTCCTCTTTCTACAATTCTCATATGAGGCTATGTCCATCAGAGACACTGTGGGTAGCCACAGACTGCAGAGGCAATATAATCTCTGGTGGAATCCCAAATCTTCTGTTTCTCAAGCCATTCTACTCTACTGTTCATCACCCATCCATCCTTTTATGCATATATATACTGAGTATATTGGGGGCTTCCCTGGTGGCTCAGAGGTTAAAGCATCTGCCTGGAATGCGGGAGGCCCGGGTTTGATCCCTGAGTTGGGAAGATCCCCTGGAGAAGGAAATGGCAACCCACTCCAGTACTCTTGCCTGGAGCATACCAAGGAGGGAGGATCCTGATAGGCTACAGTCCATGGGGTCGCAGAGAGTCAGACACGACTGAGCAACTTCACTTCACTTCACATTGAGTAAAACCAAGTCACAGGTATTGTAAGTGTCTGGAGGTCAGTGTCACAGCCCTGACCCTCCACAGCTGTGCTCATGTTCTGCCTTCAGCCTGAAATGCAGTGCTGGCCACCCCCACCCTGACCCACCCACCTTCACTCCCTGACCCAACCTGTGGCTGTAGAAAATCTAGTCACCCTTCAAGAATCTTCCCAAGGATCCATACTAAATCAATCAGTTATGAAGTCAAATCCTGCCTCTGTCACTGCCGAGCTAGGACTTCAGGTAATTTTTACAAATCTTGCTAATCTTTATTTTCCTAATCTACAAATTGGGCAGAAAAATACATATCATTCAGTTTTTATGTAAGATTTACATAAGGAAATGTGTACAGAACATTTAGTGGAATGCAAAACAGAGAGCAAATGCTGGATTGTGTCTCTTTTTAATTAAAAACAGCCATTTCTGTTCTCCAGAGCTTGCCTTCTCAGAGACTGGGGTTGGTAAAGGTGTCACTTAATTACTCTGGGAAATTCTCCATTCTGCAATAAAACCAACTCTTCTAGCGACTTCCTCTAGGTTATCCTTCATTTAAAGTCATTCATCTAGCAAACACTTACGGGGCACTTACTATTTGCCAGTGTCAGACTTCATTTTGGGGGCTCCAAAATCACTGCAGATGGTGACTGTAGCCATGAAATTAAAAGATGCTTACTCCTTGGAAGGAAAGTTATGACCAACCTAGATAGCATATTAAAAAGCAGAGACATTACTTTGCCAACAAAGGTCCGTCTGGTCAAGGTTATGGTTTTTCCAATGGTCATGTACAGATGTGAGAGTTGGACTATAAAGAAAGCTGAGCACTGAAAAATTGATGCTTTTGAACTATGGTGTTGGAGAAGACTCTTGAGAGTCCCTTGGACTGCAAGGAGATCCAACCAGTCCATCCTAAAGGAGATCAGTCCTGGGTATTCATTGGAAGTACTGATGCTGAAGCTGAAACTCCAGTACTTTGGCCACCTCATGTGAAGAGTCGACTCATTGGAAAAGACCCTGATGTTGGGAGGGATTGGGGGCAGGAGGAGAAGGGGATGACAGAGGATGAGATGGCTGGATGGCATCACCAACTCGATGGGCATGAGTTTGAGTAAACTCCGGGAGTTGGTGATGGACTGGGGGGCCTGGCTGCTGCAATTCATGGGGTCACAAAGAGTCAGACACGACTGAGCGACTGAACTGACTGACTGACTATTTGTCAGGAACTGTGCTAGATGCCGGAGATACAAAGATTAAAGAATATCTCTGCTTTCAAGAAATTTTTTAAGTCTGTTGGGAAACCACCTTTCTCTGGAAGCCTTGCTGCCCCACGTTAGGCTGCCTTTGGCTCAGATGGTAAAGAATCTGACTGCCAATGTAGGAGACTCAGGTTTGATCCCTGGGTCAGGAAGATCCCCTGCAGAAGGAAATGGCAACCCACCCCAGTATTCTTGCCTAGAGAATCCCATGGACAGAAGAGCCTGGTGGGCTACAGTCCAAGGCACTGCCAAAGAGTCAGATACAACTTGGCCACTACACAACAACAAATGCCTTTTTGTATCAAATCCTAGGTATTCCCAGTTCTAAGTAGGCTACATTCATTCCTTCATTTAACCCCCACAACAATCTTAGGAGGTAAGTAGTCTTTAATCCCATTCAACAAATAAGGAAAATGAGGCAGGGACTGATTAAACAGATTCAGGTTTTATAGGGCGTCCTTGGTGGCTCAGAGGGTAAAGCGTCTGCCTGCAATATGGGAAACTCGGGTTTGATTCCTGGGTGGGGAAGATCCCCTGGAGAAGGAAATAGCAACCCACTCCAGTACCCTTGCCTGGAAAATACCATGGACGGAGAAGCCTGGTAGGCTACAGTTCACGGGGTCGCAAAGAGTCAGACATGACTGAGCAGCTTCACTTTTTTTTCACTTTCTTCAGATCTTATAAACGTCTAAGCATGGGGAGCCAGGATCAGAAAACACATTGTCTGGCTCCAGCTTTATTATTTATATAGGCATTTAAACTCCTCCTTTTATTACCTGCTTCCTGGATTTGTGGCACATGTAAGTTTTCTTATTGAAACACTTTTCTTTTCTTTTCTTTTTGTAATGGAAGTTAACTTGCATGCATGTGTGCTAAGTCACTTCAGTCATCTCTGACTCTTTATGACCCTATGGACTATAGCCCACCAGGCTCCTTTGACTATGGGATTCTCCAAGCAAGAATACTGCAGTGGGTTGCATGCCCTCCTCCAGGGGATCTCCCCGACCCAGGGATTAAACCTGAGCCTCCTGCCTCCTCAGGCGGGTTCTTTACCACTGGTGCCACCTGGGAAGCAACGCTGTATTAATTACTGCTAGAGAGCAAAGTGGCTCCAGGTTTCCATTCAGTTGCTCAGTCCTTTGTGACCCCATGGACTGCAGCACGCCAGGCCTCCCACCAGCTCCCAGAGTTTACTCAAACTCATGTCCACCACCAGCTCCCAAAGTTTACTCAAACTCATGTCCATTGAGTCGGTGATGCCATCCAACTATCTCATCCTCTGTCTTCCCCTTCTCCTCCTGCCTTCAATCTTTCCCAGCATCAGGGTCTTTTCCAATGACTCAGTTCTTCGCATCAGATGGCCAAAGTATTGAAGTTTCAGCTTCAGCATCAGTCCTTCCAATGAATATTCGGGATTGATTTCCTTTAGGATGGACCGGTTGGATCTCTCTGTAGTCCATGGGACTCTCAAGAGTCTTCTCCAACACTACAGTTTGCTGACGCTGCTAAGTCGCTTCAGTCGTGTCCGACTCTGTGCGACCCCATAGACGGCAGCCCACCAGGCTCCCCCGTCCCCGGGATTCTCCATGCAAGAACAGTGGAGTGAGTTGCCATTTCCTTCCCCAGTGCATGAAAAGTGAAAGTGAAGTCGCTCAGTCCTGTCCGACTCTTAGCAACCCCATGGACTGCAGCCTACCAGGCTCCTCCATCCATGGGATTTTCCAGGCAAGAGCACTGCAGTGGGGTGCCATTGCCTTCTCCACACTACAGTTTAAAACATCAATTCTTCGGCGCTCAGCTTTCTTTATAGTCCAACTCTCACATCCGTGCATGACTACTGGAAAAACCATAGCTTTGACTAGACAGGCCTTTGTTGGCAAAGGCAGTCCAAGGGACTCTCAAGAGTCTTCTATAACACCACAGTTCAAAAGCATCAATTCTTCCAGCTTTAAACATTTCCTTTATCTCTCTCCTCCACTAGAATTGGAGATTATGCCAAATTCAAAGGAACAACTCTTGTGCCCACCACGATCTCCGACACCATAGGGAATCATTTATTTCTCAAATTTTCATTTGGAAGGAAGAAAGGAGAAGGGGGGGAAAAAAAGACGCACATCAGTAAATAATTCCACCGACGAATAAGCATCAGCAGTGGGCACGTGCCTGAGATGTAAATTAACTCCCTGCGAGCTGAGAACGTTCAGTTTGAGAACGTTCAGTTAGTGTGGTTAGAGTCAAGAACTCCGAGGGGCACAAGCGAGCTGTCCCAGCGGCCTGGGTCCCTCCCGCCCCGACCCCTCCGTCTGGACCTCCCACGCCGCGTCTTCCTCTCGCGGTGCCGTCCTCTCCGCGGACTCCGCCCTCCGGGATTTCCCGGGCTCCCCCTCGTCCGACCAGGCTGGGGGCCGCGCGCGGCGCGTGGGGAGTGCTCGAGCGCCGGCGGCGGCGGCGGCGGCGCGCATGCGCACTGGGGGCGCCGCCGCACTGCGCATGCGGAAAAATGGCGGGACTGGCGTCCTGAGGTGTGCGGGTCACGGTGCTCTCTAGCCTGCCCGCGTCCCACCTCCTGGGGTCGCGTCCGGTCCGCCAGCCGGTCTAGTTAGGCGGCGCCTCTGAGCCGGCCAGGGGCTCGGTTCGTGCTTGACGACGCCCCCTTCTCCCCTCCAGCCCCCCTACCCCCCGGGACCCGGCGTGTTGTGTGTGTGGGGGGGCGTCGCCCGAGCGGCGCGGGAGAAGGCGGGAGAGCTCTCGGGGGTGCGAGGCGCTGAGCGACTGTCCGGGCAGCATGAGTCAGCAGCCGCCGGCGCGGAAGCTGCCCAGCCTGCTCGTGGACCCGGCGGAGGAGACTGTGCGCCGCCGCTGCCGCGACCCCATCAACGTGGAGGGCCTGCTGGTAAGCCCCCCCGGGGTGGGGGGCGGGGAACGGCATGCGTGTGGGGGATCCCCGGGCCCCTGGGGTTCTCGCAGTGCCTGTCACGTCCTCTGAACCAGAGCCGTCGTTGTCTGCTGAAACGCTTTACCTTATCCTTTCCATGTGCTCCAAAATAACGTTGTCAACCTCCTCGATCTTTCCTTCGGGCCACAGAGCAGTGTTGGAGAAAATTGCACAGCGTTGCCTGACGCTGGCATGCTCGCCCATTTTTATCTCAATGGGTCTCTGCAAGCTCTCTTTTTCGTGTTCTCGGCAGCCTCCTCTCCCATACTCCTTCTTAGCTGCAGCCGCTTAAAACCGTGTCCACACCTCACACCCCATAGCTCCCCCCATTCATCACGTTGTCGTCTTACATTCTCTTTGACAGTGAAAACGCGAGGGAGATTAAGACTCCCTGTGAAACGTTTAATTCTTCTGTTGCTCTGGACTGCATGCAGTATATTCTCCTTGATTATCAGGACTTTTCTGTGGAAGAAACCCGTCAGCTCCCATTTCTCCCCGCATTCTCGACCTCTCTGCTGGTTTCTTCCCGTTACTAATAAATAAATATTTCCTGAAGTAGATTATCCAGACACCAGGAGGACTCCGTGCTCCAAAACAGTTGATGAGCGCCATCTCATTTAATTCTGCACAGCGGTCCTAAGGGATTATTCTTGTTTGACAGTTGCCAAGATAGACTTGGAGATGTTAAGTGGTTTTTCTATGGTTAGTAAGTAAAAAAGCCTGGGTTGAATCTCCCAGTGTCTGACTCTGGATGGTAAATTCTCAACTACTTGAAAGTGAAGTGAAAAGTTGCTCATGCGACCCCATGGACTATACAGACCATGAAATTCTCTAAGTCAGAATACTGGAGTGGGTAACCTTTCCCTTCTCCATGGGATCTTTGCAAACCGGGGATCGAACCCAGGTCTTCTGCATTGCAGGCAGATTCTTTACCAGCTGGACCACAAGGGAAGCCCAAGAATACTGGAGTGGGTAATCTATCCCTTCTCCATTGGATCTTCCCCCACCCAACCATGTCCTAAATCCATTTCGATTTTGAGAGATCCCTCCTTTAATCCCTTATGTCTTTCTGCCTACTATATCACTTCCCCTTCACAGCCAAACTCTTTGAAAAAGTTGTTTGCACTCTGGGTCTTCTTGCTCACATCTCATTACCACCTTGACCTGCTGCTGGGGGACCTCAGCCCTAAGCACAACTCTAGGACTGTCCTAACCAAGGTTGCCAGCAACCTTGTCAGGTCCAGCACATGTGGTTTTAACACGATGGACCACTCACTCTGTTGGAAACTCACCATTGACGTCCCCTTGGACACATACTGTCAGCGCTCCATCTGCCTCTCTGGTCTCTCGTGTTCTCTTTTGTAAACTCTTCCTTTTCCCATCCCTTTCATGTTGGTCTTATTCGGCTCTTCAGCCTTCTCCACAGTTTCTTCATATGGGGTGTCAGTCAGCACTCTTATGACTTCTGTTGCTATTTGTACTGGTGGTCTTATTCTTTTCAGTTTAGCTCAGTCGTGTCTGACTCTCTGACTCTCTGCCACCTGTGGACTCCTTCTTAATGTCATCAGACTCCTGGATTTATCTTTGCTGAACTGCTTATGGTTGCTGAATTTTCCAGCACACCAGGCTTCTCTGTCCATCACCAACTACTGGAGCTTGCTCAAACTCATGTCCATCAAGTCGGTGATGCCATCCAACAATCTCATCCTCTGTCGTCCCCTTCTCCTCCTGCCTTCAGTCTATCCCAGCACCAGGATCTTTTCCACTGAGTCAGTTCTTTGCATCAGGTGACCAAAGTATTGGAGCTTCAGCTTCATCTTCAGCCCTTCCAGTGGATATTCAGGACTGCTTTTCTTTAGGGTTGATTGGTTGGATCTCCTTGCAGCCCAAGGGACTCTGAAGAGTCTTCTCCAACACCACAGTTCAAATGCATCAATTCTTCGGCACTCAGCTTTCATTATGGTCCAGCTCTCACATTCATACATGACTACTGGAAAAACCATACCTTTGACTAGATGGGCCTTTGTCAGCAAAGTCTCTGCTTTTTAATATGCCGTCTAGGTTTGTCACAGACTTTCTTCTTCTTATTTTAGAATTTGATAAAAGCTCTGAACTCTTACTCTAGAAAAAACACTTTATTTTGCATTTACTATCAGAAGATACACATATCCCTTGAAATTTCAGATAGTCCCACTCTGGTAGGGCTTCTCTGATGGCTCAGTGGTGAAGACTTCGCCTGCTAGTGCAGGAGACACAGATTCATTTCCCTGGGTAGGGAAGATTCCCTGGAGAAGAAAATTGCAACCTACTCCAGTATTCTTGCCTGGGAAATCCCATGGGCAGAGGAGCCTGTCGGGCTACAATCCATGGGGTCACAAAAGAGTGGGCACAATTTAGTAACTAAACAACAACAATCCACTCTGGTAGTTTTGGTTACCATGTAATGACTCCCAAATCTGTAAATTGGGCTCAGAGCTTTCCAATTGTCTACTACACACCTCTATCTAGATTTCAAACTCATATACCTGAAGTGGAATTCATTGTTTTGCTTAAGCAACAACTCTCGATCTCACACCCTCCATATTGCCCTAGTTGGTATCCTGCGCATCATCTTTACCTTTTCCAAATGGACCCCCTCCATCCTGTCTTAATAGAAATTAGTCACCAGTACTTGCCACTTCTAGCTGTCATCTGCCTTTCGGATTGCTATCTTCTCAACTAGTTTTCCTGCTTCTCATCTTGCCCCTGATTTTTCTATATATTCTCCACATAGTAACTAACCATGATGGTCTTTTTAAAGTGTATTTCTGATCATGTCATTTGGCTTAAAAGAATCTTATCGTGGTTCCTAGCTGCTCTCATCATAGAGGAGAAACTTCTTAATGTCATCAGACTCCTGGGTTTATCTTTGCTGAACTGCTTATGGTTGCTGAATTTTCCATATGTCTATATTCTTCTGGACTTCTGTATATCTGTACTTCCCCCTTTAAAAATTTTTTTTCTTTAGAGCACACTTTCCCTTGTTACCTCCTGTGGTTCCCATTACAGGTCATTTGTGGGCAGCCTTGCTGACCCAGCCTCTGGGCTGGGCTGGACACTCCTGTGAGCTTCCTGCGTTACCCCTTCCTCAGCATGGGGGCACTTCAGGCCCTGGGCAGCCACTCTGGCCTTTCAGTGGTACATCCCCAGCGTATCTTGGGGCTTCTTGCAAGAACAAAAAAACTATTTTGGTAAATAGCTATTAAGTGAATGAAGTAGGTACCCCCCCAAATGTTTGAATGTATGAATGTTTATTTTCCTGGCTGTGAAATGGTGATTTCAACACCTCTCTCAGCAGTTTTTAGAAAAATTGGATAATGACTAGAAGTATTTAGTAGACTATGTATTATTAAATGCTATGCAAAAAAAATAGTTTTGTGTACAGCTGAGTGTTTGATGTTCCCCCCAGGGGTAAATGGCTTAAAAACTGGGATTTTACAAGGCAGAACATGATTAGAGATAGGATTTAGTCTGCACATTGAAAAATAAGGGAAATTTGCATGTGTGACTAGAAAGCAGACCCCTGGAAAAAGGTATGTGCCTGCAGAGCTCTTAAAGGGATATTGCTCACCCAAACAGGCTGCTTCAGGACACGCGAGCATCTCTGTATAGAGACATTTTTAACCAATTTAGAAGCAGTGTTTACGATTTTAGCCCCTAAAACTCACCTTTTACTTCTTTCTCCTTTGAGATCTCAAATTGCAAAGTGTAGGTTTTGAGATGTGGGAACTTGGAGCATCAGGGAAATGACTTGGAATGTGCTGACCTGCCCACCAGGAGCTGCTGGTTCCTAGAGAGCTGTGTGTGCTGAGCGCAGCCGCCGTAGTTTCAGGATGGAGACAGACTAATAGACCCGAACAAGTGAGGAGAGCAGTTTGAGTGTTTGAACCGCAGGCTTTTTTAGGAAGCCCAGTCTTGAGGTTTGGCTGCTACCAGGCTCTCTTTTGGGTTCCCCTGCTGGCTCAGCAGTAAGGAATCTTCTGCCAGTGCAGGAGATGCAGGAGACACGGGTGGGATCCCTAGGTCAGGAAGATCTCCTGGAGGAGGAAATGGCAACCCACTACAGTATTCTTGCCTAGGAAATCCCATGGCCAGAGGCGCACAGGCGACAGTCTGGGGGTCACAGAGAGGCAGACGCTACTGAGCAGAGCAGGCTGTCCGTGGGCAGGTCTTCAGGGAGATGCCTGAGCATGGCCTCTCAGGGAGGCTTCCTTGAAGGAACATAAATGTTGGCAGTGCCCCCAGGGGTGGGCTGTCAGCACTAGAAGCAGCAGCATCTAGTGCCATAGAAGTTTGAGGATGTTCCTCTGAGGACTGCCATCCTCGAGACACCGAGAAGGTAAAAGATGTGTCCTCTGCAGGAGCCACTTTTAAAAGGTTCGCATTGGCTGAATCTGGGATAACTTGAGTCTCAAAATACTAGATTTTATACTCAGAATAAGATAGGAGTTCAGGCTCCTTCAGTGTAGCTCGTTAAGTACAGCCTCAAATATAGTTCCTCCAGATCTTTAGGCCTGTGAGACAAGGAAAAGCTCCTCACCTGTTTGTCGAATGTGGTTCACCAGAGTTAGCATAGCTGGAAAGGCCAATCAGGATTGTCAGACTGAATCTCCCCAGATGATAAATTTGTATTAGAAAACAGAACATGAGGCCTCCTAATCTCAGTGATCCTTACAGATGGGGTATCCAAGAGGGCATCTTTTCCCGGTGTCCCTGTGTCTGTAAATACACATTGTTGTTTATCAGTTGACATCATCCGTGACAAGATCCTATTTCACACTTCCATTCATTAGTTTAACAAATGTTTACCAAGTGCCTGAATGTGCCAAGAACTGTTCTGGTTCAAACAGGACAACAACAATAATAGTCTCTTATGCATTCTTGGGATTTTTACAGTGTACAGGATTGGTCATTTGATCTTCACAATAGCTTGGAAAGTGGGCTCGAATTGTAGGTCTGTAGGATTTACACCATCTTTACTTGGGAGGTCTGCCCCTGAGAGGCCATGATGCTATCGTGCGTCCTCCAAAATAGAGAGGGTTTTTTTGTTCGGTGAGGGGTGGGGAGTCAAAACCCCCTACAGATCTCAGTATAGCCCATACGTAGTTTATAGCAAAGAATGTGGGGGAAAGAAAATCATACATTCTCATGTTACTAATTGAGGTACCTCCATCCCTGTGCCAAGCCTTCTAGATAAGGAGACCAGAGGGAGGGGTCTGGAGCAGGGAAGGCACCCTTGGAGCACATGCGAAGAGCAGATAGGGAGGTAGCACGAGTGGGGGCCTGGGCCCTCCCACCCTGAACCAAGAACAAGTCTTGTCTGCAGCACGACCCCTGCGGCTGCTGCTCTGTTAATCCCGTCCACATGCGTTCTCAGGGTTGATTGTGGCACTAAAGTGATTGAAGTAGTGTAGCAACTTAGTGTGTTTGTTAATGGGTGTTTCAGGTCCCTGTGATAAGAATGGATTTTTTTTTTTCTTTTAAGAAATTTTGCATCAGTAGTTCAACTCTGTCTCATAGTCTTTTAGCAGAAGGGTTGAATGTAAAAATAGCAGTGACAGTTGGTCACCCTGGTCTGAAGTTTGGCTTCAATAGGACTGCCCTTCAACATGTCCCTGGTGGCTCAGAGGGTAAATAGTCTGCCTGCAGTGTGGGAGACCAAGGTTTGATCCCTGGGTTGGGAAGATCCCCTGGAGAAGGAAATGGCAACCCACTTCAGTACTCTTGCCTGGAGAATCACCATAGACAGAGGAGCCTGGTGGGCCACAGTCCACGGGTCGCAGAGAGCTGGCCACGAGTGAGCAGCTCCACGTTCTTTCAGCCTGTCCCTGTTGTCGGCCTGCACTGAGAGCCAGCCAGGCAGAGTCCCTGCTGCAGGACAGGCTTTCCCCACTCCGGTTTTGCACCCGGCAGGTGTACCTGCAGGTGTTTAAATTCCAACGACTAAATTCATTTTAAAGTGGAATTCTGCTTCAGGGGCGTTATTCCGTATCAAGTTAGCTTGCTGACAGATGCCATCATCTTGTTGTGAATGATAAGGGAACCGTTGTGCCAAGGCTTGTATAGTAACACCAGCAGGGAGAGAGCTGCTAAGCTGCTCACCTCGCCTTCAGGCTTCCCCGTTCCTCAGTCTTTTTGGCGTATTGCCACCGTACTTAGATCTCTGAACCATGAGCCCAAGGATGTCATGTCTTGTTCAGAAATCTGTGGCGTTTCTGCACTGGTTACAGCCTAAAGGCCAAACTCCAGGGCATGACTTTCACAGTCCTCCGTGTCCAGCATGGTGCTGGCAGGCCCTTCCAGCCTCAGTGACAAGTCGATTTCACACTGGCCAGCCAGGTGGCCTCGCGAAAGGTGCCAGGTAGTTTGTGTTTCCATACCTTTATGCATGTCACTTCCTGCACCAAGAATTATTTATCTTCTCTCTCCAACCTCCCCCACAGGTTCCTGCAAAATCTGGCTTGTCTTCCAAGGCTTGGCTGGGGGGGTCCCTCTCGTGAGAATTGCTGGCTACACCCCAGAGTTCTGGTGACTCTTCTTAGAGCTCCTCATGAATCCCCCCAGTTTTGCTGTGGCCCCATTGAGGGCAGTTTTTTCACTTAAACAGAAGCTAAACCCACCCACAGCCTGTCTGGAGACACATGATATCATTATACTTTGTTCTAAGCAAAAGGCTAATATGGGTTTCTCTTCATTAGCTTCATGGTTAGGATTTATATATGTTTTGCAAAAAACAGTTTTTAAGTGTACTGCAGATGTTACAACAAGTTTATGTAAGCCTTCATAGCCTTTAAGTAGGTAGTAAAATGATGAGCATTGCCAGTGGAGCTACTGTTATACTAATTTCCTGGTTGCCTAAGGGATTTACAAGAAGTGTTTTATTAATCTAATACTGAACTTTCCAGTTACGTTGCGTGCATTATTTTCCATGATTAGAAATGCTGTTTTTACATTAATTATCATGGGACTGCATGGCTGCTTTTGAAAATGAAAGTTTGTGAGCTCATTTCTCTGGAGGCACTTAACAGTGAGTTAGCAAAGGGTGAGCATTTGTTAGTTTGGGTGTAGATCTCTCCCTCACCTTCCAGACTCAGAGACAAATCCTGATCAGAGACAGAGTCCTGATCACCTCTGAATTCCCCTTTATCCCTAGTACCTGAGACAGTCAGTAAATTAATATCCATGTAGTAATAAATTCCAGTATTCGTTCTCTACTGCCACCACCCTTCCTTTCTCCCCCCACCCGACCTCTTTAACTACTGCTTCCGTAGCTATGGGCTTCCCTTGTGGCTCAACTGGTAAAGAATCCGCCTGCAATGAGGGGGACCTGGGTTCGATCCCTGGGTTGCTAACATCCCCTGGAGAAGGGAAAGGCTACCCACTCCAGTATTCTGGCCTGGAGAATTCCATGGACTGTATAGTCCATGGAGTCACAGAGAGTTGGACATAACTTTCACTTTCACTTTCCATACCTATGGAGGCCCGTGCAGTTTCAGAAATGCAAGTGTGTAAACTCTGTCAGATGTGATGACAGTTAGCATAAATGTAGTTTAGGAGAAGGACTGGTTTCCTCACACCATAATTATTTCCCAGGGTGAAAAAAAGGACAAACCTTTATATTATCCAGTAAAATGTTGTTCATTTGCATTGTGTTTGTTTTTTTGGGTTTTTTTTTTTTTTTTTTGCTATTCATTTGCTTGTATTTAAATTACTCAGTTAAATTTCTGTATCTTCTCTTTTCCAGCCATCAAAAATAAGGATTAATTTAGAAGATAACGTACAATATGTGTCCATGAGAAGTAAGTTGATTCCTGAATAGGTTTTAGGTTTTACCGTTTGACCTTCTTATGATTTCAGTAATTTATTTTAAAAGTACCTGAGTTGATGAGTAACTTAAATAAAGTGTACTATTTGTAAACTGAAATGTCAATCTTGGAATTTCAGCAAAAACTCTGAGGTTGTGGGCTGTCAGTGTGCACAAATGCCAGTTTATTCTTCATTGCTTTGGAAATGTCTTTTTTTTTTCCTAAATGGTCTGTGTATAGGGATATTTCCCAGAGTTCTCTGAGAGCAGTTGTTGTCATCAGTGGAATTGCATGCGGTTTGGCAACAAACGTGAGGACAGTCTTTGCCCTCCTGGTTTCCTGTGGTTCCTTGTGCTCTTTCCATCTACTCCTGTCCTAATCTTGGGGGATACACGATGCCTAGACATCCAGTATGAATCTTAACGTTAGCCTTCATTTCTCCTCAGCAACCCCCACAGTCCCACCCATATCTGGCCTCCAGTTTTCCTCTGGAAGCATTTCCTTCGTCTGCCCCATGCCATCACTTACACTCATGTCTCACATGTATTGAGCTCATGCAGTGCCTGGCCTGTATTCAGCTCCTTACATGGATTATCACAGCAACCTTTCAAAGTAAAGGTATGGATCATTATTCCTATTTGATGGACAAGTAAATGGAGGCCCAGAGGAATTAAGTAACTTGTCCAATCAGAATTCATCCCCTGCCCAGACTTGAGCGTGCAGTCTTATCCCTGGGTCAGGTTCTGCTTCCTGCGCAGGCCACCCTGGCACAGCTGCCCACGCCGGTCGTCTCTGCCAGGCCCTCCCTGCTGCCCATGGGGTCTCTCTTAACACAGAAACACGATGGTGATTTCAGCCAAACAAATGGATTGATTGAATCTGCAGATAGGATTCAAATTATATAGTAAATTATACGTAGGTTAACTCTTGTCTTGGTCAAGAGTCAGATGTAAATGTTTTTAAAGTCAGAATTTCTCATTTGTAATCTTGCAAGGTTTTATAGAATGATGACTATCTTCTACTTTTTTAAAAAAAATTTAATTCCTATTTAATCCTGTTTAATCTTTAAGTATAGGAGTGGTCTCCACATAGAAGACATTTACATTATAAAATATGTTCTTTTGTTTCTTGGAGTAACCACCAGTGGTCTTTAAGTTGAATGTAATATCATAGAGGTTCAGGAGAAGAGCATTTCTGATTGAAGATAGGATGACTGTTTCCTTTGAAGCATTCTGTGGTATGCTGTGAAGTAGGAAAAAAAATGTAATCACATACTCCACACTAGGAGGACAGCTAAATTATTTGTAGAATTTATTTCCTCTGCACACTAAACCATAAGAACCATTCAGTTCAGTTCAGTTCATTTCAGTCACTCAGTCGTGTCCGACTCTTTGCGACCCCATGAATCGCAGCACACCAGGCCTCCCTGTCCATCACCAACTCCCGGAGTTTACTCAGACTTGTGTCCATTGAGTCGGTGATGCCATCCAACCATCTCATCCTCTGTCATCCCCTTCTCCTGCCCCCAATCCCTCCCAGCATCAGGGTCTTTTCCAATGGGTCAATTCTTCACATGAGGTGGCCAGAGTATTGGAGTTTCAGCTTCAGCATCAGTCCTTCCAATGAACACCCAGGACTGATCTCCTTTAGGATGGACTGGTTGGATCTCCTTGCAGTCCAAGGGACTCTCAAGAGTCTTCTCCAACACCACAGTTCAAAAGCATCAACTTTTTGGCACTCAGCTTTCTTCACAGTCCAACTCTCACATCCATACATGGCCACTGGAAAAACCATAGCCTTGACCAGACGGACCTTTGTTGGCAAAGTAATGTCTCTGCTTTTTAATGTGCTATCTAGGTTGGTCATAACTTTCCTTCCAAGGAGTAAGCATCTTTTAACTTCATGGCTGCAGTCACTATCTGCAGTGATTTTGGAGCCCAAAAAAATAAAAGTCTGACACTGTTTCCACTGTTTCCCCATCTATTTCCCATGTATCAAACTGGGAAAGATGGAAAGAATGATAATCTTCAGTTTTGGCAAGGGCAAGAGAGGAGGCCCTTATAAACTTTGTAAAACTGATAGAACCCACATCCTGAATAGCAGATTTGGCAGCATTTAAAAATACACTTTTACTCAACAATTCCACATCCTGAAACTTATCTAAAGGAAACAAAGACGCATGCAAAAATTTAGCTTCTAGGCGATTCACTGAAGTATTGTGCAAAATAGTAAAATTAGAGATAATTTTAATTTCCAGCATTGGGCTGAGTTGAGCACATATTCCATGCAGTTAAATATGCAGCCATAAAGAATAAAGTTGAAATAAATTTGTTGACACATCAGGATGTTCATAATACTGAATTAAAAAACAGTATGTTAAAAAGTGGTATGTTTCTATTCTCGTTTTTTAAAGCTATATATATTTACATATTGACGTGGGCATGTGAAAGTGTAGTGTCAGGGGGTATCTGGAAAACCGTAGTAATGAGTAAATGAGGGAATTAAAGAGATTTTTCTCTATTCATATGCTTATCTGTTAATATAGGGTAATGAATATTTTGAAAAATAGTCATGCCACTTTCCCTCAAGGTATATCCTAACCATGCTAATTAGAAGACTGATTTGAGCCCTTTCCAGATTTCATCAGTTTGGTTTACACTATGACACGTATAGGGACATTTTAAACCTTTTTTTTTTAAAGCTAAATCTCTAACTTTGCTTCATAAAGAATTTCCTGACTTGAGGACCAAATGAGAAATTTGATTCTAAACATTATTTCTAATCCTATTCCTGAGAGTGGTATGGATATAGATGCAGGCTCACCATTTATGTCTGATATGATACCGTTCAGATTCACATACTCCATGGAAACTGGTTGCATATTTCAAATATTCCTTTAAGTCTAAAGCCTTTGTTTACCTGGAATAGGCTAATAAGTTTTCATCCATTTTGAGAAGTCGATTTTGTAAAAATTAGCTATGATTTGGTCAGTGGGTAGAATATCTGTAGGTGTCTGTGGTTATTGATCAAGAAGAAATAAATGGTCTTTTTAATGAATTGAGAAAGAAATGCTATTTAAAATTTTACGAATTGTGTTTGTTTTGTTTCCCAGAAGCACTAAAAGTGAAGAGACCTCGTTTTGATGTATCACTGGTTTATTTAACTCGAAAATTTATGGATCTTGTCAGATCTGCTCCTGGGGGCATTCTTGACTTAAACAAGGTTGCAACGAAACTGGGAGTACGAAAACGAAGAGTGTATGACATCACCAACGTCTTAGATGGAATCGACCTGGTTGAAAAGAAGTCCAAGAACCATATTCGGTGGATGTGAGTTGTTTTCAAAGTTTTCAGGTTTTTTTTTCTCCTCAATAAGTGACAATACTGTGCTTAAAACAAACTAGGTACTATCAATGGTTTGTTTTCTTTTTTCCTACTTGGTACCAATTAAAAGCCATATAATATCATCCCAATATTATGGAAAAGCTGAGTGGAGTCATGATTAGTTTTAGGAATTTCACTTTTCAAGATAAGTGGGCATCTGATTGTGTAGGAATTTTTTTAAAAAAATATTTCCTCAGTTCCAGTTGATCATTGATACCAGGGGGAATCAGTTACGGTGGTAAAACAGTGGTTCTTGCACTGGAGTGTGGTGACCATGGAGAGGTCTCCTCCCAAGGGGCTGTAGTTCAGTTCTGGGGGAACGCAGATACCTGCCTTCTTAAAAGCGATCTCCGGGTTATGGTTCAGGTCAGGCTTGGAAGCAATTCCCTGAATGTTAAAAAAAAAAAAATTCAGGAGGCTGTGTATCTCAGATTTAATTGGTAAATACTTAGCATATGATTAGGAAGGATTTCAGGAAAAGAAGACCTTATGGTATAAATGTAGATATTACATGTAGATAAGCGTGGGGGACACACACACACACACACAAAGGAACGGAGTGGTTATACTTAACAACACACAACTATTTTGAATCAGTAAGAAACAGTTCCAGCATATAAGTACCTAGATACCTTGCAGGCAAAAGAAAAATCTACCAGCAAAGATCATTAAAATGATTCTCAGTAGTTAACTTCGCTATTAGGGGAAAGGGGTTCATAAAGGAGGTTATTTTTTTAGTAGTACAGAAATTCAAATTGAATTTTAATTTGAACATGTTTGCAGAGTCGGACACGACTGACACCACTTAGCAGCAGCAGCAGCTGAATAATAGCTAACATTTTAGGGGCTAATGTCGGATTATGTTCTAAGTCACTAATTAGAATCAGATTTGAGAACTAGCGAGCAAAAGGTAAAGTTGTAACAGCCTGTCCCCTCTTAATTTTCTATAAAGATCGAAGAAAAGAATGAATATTGATAGTTGCTCAAGTCACATCATATTGGGGCAGACTGTAATAAAGAAAATAAATCTTTGAAAAATTATTATTTTCAGGTAGAACCAGATTAAATATGCACTGTAGGGAAAACTAAAGACTAAGAATTTTAGCAGATGAACTGTCGTTTGGCCAGTATGTGCTATTTTTCATGTGTAAAAACTAAAGGGTTCAGTTCAGTTCAGTCGCTCAGTTGTGTCCGACTCTGTGTGACCCCATGAACCGCAGCACGCCAGGCCTCCCTGTCCATCACCGATTCCTGGAGTCCACCCAAACCCATGTCCATTGAGTCAGTGATGCCATCCAACCATCTCATCCTCTGTTGTCCCCTTCTCCTCCTGCCCCCAATCTTTCCCAGCATCAGGGTCTTTTCAAATGAGTCACTTCTTCGCATTAGGTGGTCAAAGTATCAGAGTTTCAGCTTCAGCATCAGTCCTTCCAGTGAACACCCAGGACTGATCTGCTTTAGGATGGACTGGTTGGATCTCCTTGCAGTCCAAGGGACTCTCAAGAGTCTTTTCCAACACCACAGTTCAAAAGCATCAATTCTTCTGTGCTCAGCTTTCTCTATAGTCCAACTCTCACACCCATACATGACTACTGGAAAAACCATAGCCTTGACTAGATGGACCTTTGTTGGCAAGGTAATGTCTCTGCTTTTTAATATACTGTCTAGGTTGGTCATAACTTTCCTTCCAAGGAGTAAGCGTCTTTTAATTTCATGGCTGAAGTCACCATCTGCAGTGATTTTGGAGCCCAGAAAAATAAAGTTAGCCACTGTTTCCCCATCTATTTGCCATGAAGCGATGGGACTGGATTCCATGATCTTAGTTTTCTGAATGTTGAGCTTTAAGCCAACTTTTTCTCTCTCCTCTTTCACTTTCATCAAAAAGCTCTTTAGTTCTTCACTTTCTGCCATAAGACTGTAACTTGTCAAAAGGACTTCTCCCATGGCTCAGTGGGTAAAGAATCCACCTGCAGTGCAGAAGACACAGGAGAAACTGGTTTGATCTCTGAGTCAGGAAGATCACCTGGAAGAGGAAACAGCAACCCAATCCAGTATCTTTGTCTGGAAAATCCCACGGACAGAGGAGCCTGGCAGGCCACAGTCCAAAGGGTCACAAAAGAGACACGAATGAACACAAACACAGATGGACAAGAACTTGTCAAAAGTCATACTGTGGAAAGCAGAGCTGGGCTGAAACTAGGTGTTATGACTCAGTTCACTGCTCATTGAACTTTAGTAAGCTTTCCGTAGAACTTTTGATTTCCAGAGGGTTGTGATGTTCTTTTTGTTTTTAAAGTTTCTTTGTCAGGGAATAGAAATAGGGACAAAAACCAAAGAGAAGTAATGGTTGTCTAGAATAACAGGAGAGCAGGAGTGGAGTTTGTTACCTGTTGTCTGTTCTTGTGGGAGACACCAGGTGTAAACTTCTGGAGACATTCCAGTAACCTAACTTGTATTAATTTGTAATCTCCCAGATGTTGTTGATGGGGATCTTTTTCTTTTAAAGAGGCTCTGATCTTAGCAATTTTGGAGCAGTGCCCCAACAGAAGAAGCTGCAGGAGGAGCTGTCTGACTTATCAGCAATGGAAGATGCCCTGGATGAGTTAATCAAGGATTGTGCTCAGCAGTTGTTTGAGTTGACAGATGACAAAGAAAATGAAAGATATCCTTTAATCTGTACCTTTAAAAAAAAAAATCTCCCAAAGCAATTACCTTAAATAGTAGGCTCAGCTTGGTAATTTAATTAATATATTTAAGATACAAAATCAGACCTTTAGAAGTGAATGAACTGCCATAGAAATGATACTGAAACTGCCTTTCCAGTCCACCAAGCCTGACACAGTTGGATGGTCATGCTCTTCAAGACAGTGTCTCTGGCATCAGAGGGGGAGATTGTCTTTGATTCTGATCTCCTTCCAAGTCTCCTAGACAGTTTTGCTGCCATGTTCCCCATGCAGCACCTTTCTGAGTTGTCACTGATACTGAGCTAGTCCATGTTTCAAATTTACTTAAATTCTACCCCAGTCAAAAACTCCTCTATTTCCACAATACAGTTATTAGAAGGAAAGTAAATGCTGTCACTGGACACAGTCAAAAAGGTCTGTGGAGTTTAAAAAAAAAATGCTGGGGAAACCCTTTAAATCAGGTAAGTGGTAAAATTTCAAGCAACACAATAAAAGAAGATGAGAAGAATTAAGGTAGCAAGATTGAAAATAGTTTGGGATGAGAGCAGTCCCATGAGTAGTTGATAGTCCTGAAAAACTGGTTTTCTACGTTGTTTCTACTACTAACAGATTCTTTCTCCCTTACATTTTAGGAGATTCTTATCAAAACACTTTTTTTTCTCCAGAGATTCTCATAAGATGTAGCAATGATAGGGAAATGTGCAGGGAGGTTTGAATACCTTCATGTATTGTCTTTGTTTTAAACACCCAGACTTTATTACTATTTTTTGTCCAGAAAGTGTTATCACTATCATAGTAGTATAAAAGAATTCTTTTGAGTTATATTGTAAAACACTTTGTAAAATCCTAAGGATCGTTGATGAAATAGTAAGAATTACATATGAAATAACTTTTAATCTGCACCCTCTGCTTAGAGACCCTTAACTGATTTTTACACTAGCATATGTGACGTATCAAGACATTCATAGCATCCAAGCCTTCCATGAACAGATTGTAATCGCAGTTAAAGCACCGGCAGAAACCAGATTGGATGTTCCAGCTCCCAGGAAGGTAGGTAGCCCTGCTTTTGAGTCTGTGTGTGTGTGCGCGTGCTTAGTTGCTCAAGTCATGTCAGACTCTTTGCCACTTCATGGACTTTAGCCCGCCAAGCTCATCTGTCCATGGGGATTCTCCAAGCAAGAATTCTGCACCCCCCTGTTCTTAAGAACGTTTAAAGGGAAACAGGGGCTTCCTTGGTGGCTCAGCAGTAAAGAATCCGCCTACAATGCAGGAGATAATGGGTTCAATCCCTGTGTTGGGAAGATTCCCTGGAGAAGAAAATGGCAACCCACTCCAGTGTTCTTGCCTGGAAAATCCCATGGACGGAGGAGCCTGGTGGACTGCAGTCCATGAGTCACAAAGAATTGGACACAACTGTATGACTAAACAACAACAAAGGGAGGCAAGCCAGCTACTTGGACTGTGTGTTGTTGCAGTCCCAGTAACTTGATAACTAGTGTGTGCATGTTAGCTGCATACCTGATCCACAGCTCAAGGCACTTCACCCATTTTAATGTGTTTAATGTGTTCTGAGTAACACAGCAAACTCAGCAGTCATGACTATTATCCTCTACAGATGAGAAATCTAAAGCACAGAAAGATAAATTTTCTTACCATCATACAGTAAGTGAGAAAAACAGAATTCAAACCCAGACAGTTTGGCTTCAGAGTCTGTTCTTAGCCATTGTACTATCATGGCCTCTTAGAGGAATCACCAAGAATTGGCCTCAGTATTAAGATCCAGTGTCAAACAGGGCTCTGGGGAATTAACTCACTAACCAAACTCATAAAAGACTCACAAATAAAGGAGGACAGTAAATTAAACATTTAAAATGAAAAGTAAAATTAATGTGTAAATGGAAATACTGTCAGCTGCTTGCAGGAAAGTTTGTGTTGAAAGATACTTGTCGATAGATGCATGGTCAGGGTGGACTCAACCAAGGAGTGAAACCATTCTTAGGACAGATGGAGTGCTGATGGCCTGATAGACCCATCAGCGCTGAAGTTGTGTCCTCTTCATTGCAATAGGGGACTTCACCTCCCTCAGTGAGGTGATTCTCACCCACCTTCTCCTTTTATCCCCAGAAGACCACAGTCCATGTGAGACCCTAGCTGTTACTGGACAGTGTATTACAGTTAAGGAACACCTTTTGTTTATTTCAGTCACACTCAAATTGTGACTTTGAGGTGATGCTTCCTAATGAGTGCTTCCTGTGGTTCAGACTAAGCAAATACATGATATTCTCAAATATATGACAGCAAAGAAACTACCTGGATGAGAATTTCCAGAAGTGTCCCTTGATTACTTCTACAGTTCTAGAAAGTAAAAAAATGTAATTCGTGAATCCTCTCATTCATCTTAATGCTTTCTGTATCTTGTGCTAGGATTCTATCACAGTACATATCAGGAGCACCAAAGGACCCATTGACGTTTATTTATGTGAAGTGGAGCAGGGTTCCCACTCAAGTAATAAAACGTCAGACAGTGTAGGGACCTCTTCATCCAAAAGCAAGCCTTCGGAGCACCCTCAACCTGAGAAAGGTAAACAGGCCGATTTTGTGATTAGGAAAATTTAAGATTCTAATGATTTTTTAAATGTATATAGTTTAACAAATGAATATTATGGATATGAATATTTATGAATAACATTCATAAAATGATTATGGCCTTACAGATATTTTTACTCTTCCTAGCTACAAAAACATGAGTTAAAAATTACAGGGTAATTCTCACTATAGTTGCTTACTGTTTCTAACAACCCTGTTGTTAAATCCCGTGTAATTTTGATATCTGTGAAAAGTTAGAATTGTAGTTGGTTTTGGAGTGTGGTCTCTGTAGAGAAGGCTGTCTGATCCTCTGACCCAGGTCCTCCGGCTCATGCTTGAGTCCTGGTTTTATTATTCTTGTGAGACTGGAAACATTAGCCTTATGCCACTCATGTAAGAATATGGTTCTTGACTGAGGTCTTCCTATTTTGTCTTAAAAATTTGAATGTTCTCTTAGCTGCCTGCCTTTGAGACCTTCATTTAGGAAGATTTCTCCCGTGTTTGTTATCTTTCAGAAGAAAATCCTCCACATCAAAGTGAAGAAGTGCTTGAAGTGAGCAACTGATGGTGTTTGAGGGTCCATGCATGGAGTCTCTTGGACTCCTGTGTTAATGAAGATCCTCAGAGCAATAAATTGTCCCTGCTGTTTTCTCATTCTTGGTAGCTTCAAGAAGGCCAGGAGTGCCTCCAAGCACTTTGCTCTTTAGATTGCTGGATAATGGCGGTTTCTGCATTTGAAAACAGCTCTTTTTATAATTATTCACTGCTTTTTTGCCAGTGAAGCAGTCATCTTGCCTACAGAAATTATTGAATCACACAGCTGTCACTGAAACAGCAGGCAGGCGGGGTGGACAGCTCCTCGTGGACTCTGCCCTTTGCTGCGCGGATCGCGTGTTGTTGTCACAAAAGAAGTTGCCTTACATGGGTTCATGTCTGCATGGATGGGTGTGTGCACACACCTGATGTGGTGTCTTTGTACATATTTGTATAATGTCTAGATCACTTGTGAAATACGTCTAAGTGAGACTGTTCACCCTTGTACAGCCAAAATGTAAATATGGAAAGTAACAGACATATTCTCTAATTTCTGTGGTATCTATAACTTATTAGAATCCTCCGAATGAGGGTTAGAGGAGAGTTTTTTCCCTAACTTCTACATGTAGAAGTACCATAAATATGTGTGCAGTTAAAGTTTGTGGATTTAATGCAAGTATTTCAGTATGGTTTCCCAGTGCTAAAATTGGACTTCAGGCTCCCTACAGAGTCATTGTGTCCAAGCAGACTGCTGACGTGTCCCAAGCTTTGGGGACAAGTGCAGAAATGCCACCAGCTCATGACTGAATTCCTTGCAAGACATGAGTTCAGTCATGGTGACAGTTGAAAACTATTTTAACCTTTTTTGCAAGATTTTGTAATATGTTTCTGTACACAGCCTTGCTTTTCAACCAGAGGGGTTTATTTACAATGAGTCAGTGGTCCCCTGCCCTCACTCCAGCTCTAGTCCCATGTTCCCGAGCACCTCGCTCTTTCTACCTCAGCGGGTAAGTCATTACCACTCTGTGCCTCAGTTTACTCAGTAGTTTACCATTAGACTGTGAGCTCCTTGGGGGACTTTGTCTTAATCATTGTTAAGCCCAACGCCTTGCGCCACTCCTGGCAATTGAAAAGCGCTTGATAAATGTTTGAACAAATCAGGTGAGTGAGTGAGTGAGTGAATGGTATAATTAGACTGATAATGCTTGGCTCATACCATTCAAAATTCTTGTATCATTCAGATTCATATTTTAAACTTCTGTCACTTTGAAAGAAAGAATTGAAGTGACGTGAGATTAGGACCATGTAGAAAAAAGAGGAATAAAAAATGAACATGCTGGAAAATCATGCCAAGTATGTAGGATTCGCACACCTCCAAACTCCAGTGGCTTTTGCAGTCCTGTCCCTCAGCTGAACACCAGCCTCCTCCCTCCTCACAGTCCCTGCCAGCTGCCTCTGCAGGCCTTGGCTACGAGGCAGAAGTTGTGTGTATAGGTCAAGTGCTCCTCGGAGGATTCCAGGCTCTGCATTGTAGATTTGGCAGCTGTCAGTTAGTGTGATGGCTGAACATGAGAGTGGATGAGGCCACCTAATGAGAGGGTACCAGCAGGAGAAGAGGAAAGGCCCGTTGGCATGTGTTTTAAGGGGAGGTACCCACTCCAGTTGCTTGCCTGGAGATTTCCATGGGGTCACTGAGTCGGCTGCGACTGAGCAACTTAACACTTTCACTTTCACCAAAGAAAAAGCCTTTCTCAAGAGAGAAAAGAGGAGGAGAGAAAAAATGGCTGAAGAAGGTGGTGCCCCCAAAACCCACAAAGGAAGCATGGCCACAGGTGATAGCATTTTTCTAAGCAGCAGTTCCTTACTTGTCAAATGTGACAAAGTGTTCTACTTTGCAAATCATTCTGAGAGTAACGTGAGATTGTGTAAACAAAAGCCCTCTGTAAACTGTAGACGTGTTACATAAATGAATCTTTTTCGTCACTCCAGCTTCTGGTGTTTCGTCTCTTCTTTTCACAACTGTTAAAGGAAGCATCGTTGAACCGGGCCTCCAGGCTCTTCCTCCCGGCTCTGTCCGGAACAGCACTGCCCATCTGTGCAGGCATACCTCATTTTGCTATGCTTTGCCATACTGTGATTTTTAAAAACTGAAGGTTTGGCCCCCCTGTGTCCAGCAAGTCTGTGAGCACTTTTCCTAAAAGCATTTGCTCATTTCATGTCTGTGAGTCACATTGTGGTAATTCTTGCAGTATGTCAGGTTTTTTTCATTTTGTTACATCTGTTATAAAAAAAAAAAAGTTTGATAGATGAGTTGCTTCTTATGGATGAAACAACATGATTTCTTAAGTTGGGCTCTAATCTGGGTGAAGATGCTGTGAAAATTGAAGTGACAACAACGGATTGAAAATATTGTATAAATTTAGTTGATAGGGTTTGAGAAGTTCAATGGCAATTTTGAAAGACACTACTGTGGGTAAAACGTTAACAAACATTGTTGCCTGCTACAGAGAAGTCATCTATGAAAGCCAGAGTCAACTTCCATTGTTGTCTGATTTTAGGAAATTGCACAACCTTTGTCCACCAATATAAAGCTATGTCTCCAATCAGCATTAATAATGATAGAGCCACTGCGACCTCCATCTCTCAGACCTCCGTGTCTATCAGTTATTCTGAATGTGGAAGGGGAGGGGGGATGTTACTTGTTGGGAAAAGAACCCATAACAGACTTTGCATTGGGGAACCCATGTTAGGATTAAATTCAGCTGCAGGTAGCAGGGAACCCCCAAATTATAGTGGCATAAAAGATGCAACTTCACCTGTCACTTCAGATGGTTAGGGTTGGTGTGGCCTCCAGGGGCACAAGGACCAAGGCTCTTTCCAGGTAGTTCTTCCTTCAGGCTTGGCTTCCAACCCCAAGGTCGATTCAGAACCCAGAAGAGCCCTGGGCATGTGTCTGTATACTAGCCAGCAAGCAGGGCGAAAAGAGAGAAGGGTACACCTCTCCTTGAGGACACTTCCTACACCTCACATCAAGTTACACCCGACATAGCCCCTTAGATTTAGAAATGGAATCTTCATTGGTGGAGTGGCAGCCCCATGTCCAGCTAACACAAGAGTTCTATTGCTGTTGAAGAAAGAAGAATAGATACACTGTGTGGTTAGATATGATGATCTGATTCTCCCATCTGGGTAGGAAGACAACCTCCCAGTAAGATCACGTGAGAAGTTCTATCCAGTTAGCTACGAGGAGGCAGTGACGTCGTGAAAAGACCACACATCATTTTGCAGTAGCTCTTCCTGCCCCAGCAATCGAAAAAGCCATACGTTGTAGATGATGCAGCTCTAAGATCCTGGGGTCGCCGTCAGCCTGGATTCCTGAGACTGCATGGAATTGCCCTGAGAGTCTGCATGCAGCATGAAATGTGTCAAATAATTTTAATTTGTTTGGAGCTATTAATAATTTATTACTGTGACGTAATCAAGCCTATCCTAACTAGTATGTTTTGGGACAACTAGCAGTATCTGCTGTGGGGTTTCCCTGGTGGCTCAGGGGGTAAAGAATCTGCCTGCAACGAAGCAGATGAGGGTTCGATCCCTGGGTCGGGAAGATTCCCCTGGAGGAGGAAATGACCACCCACTCCAATGTTCTTGCCTGGAAAATTCCATGGACTGAGGAGTCTAGCAGGCTAAGCATACACAGCAGTCTCTACTACACGTCAGTGAGTGAAAGACTCAAAACAGCCTCACACCAAAGCAGTGTTGTACCTTTGGCACACCCCCAATTGCTGTGGGTTGCTTCTGAGCAGTAAAATTTAACTGTCAAATCTGTTTGTTGGCTATTAGCATCATGGGAGTTGAACACGAATTTGTGTAATGATTGCCACCTAGTGGAGGATTAACAATTCTCAGATCTCTTGTTTCCAATTAAGCAGATGCTGCTTGAGAATGAATAGCATTGACTTTAAATTTTCAGAGCCCATTCTTGATACAGTGAATTCATGCTAACTTTTACATATTAAGATTTAAATGAAATAATTTAGGAAGAAAGAAGTTACAACTGTCAAGGAATCAGCATTATATTCTAGAATGTGTCCATTTCTCTGTTCTCGCTATAATCTAGTCTGCAGACATCTTGTCTTCACACCTCGCAGAACATCAGGTTGGTCCATGGCATTGAATCTATTGAACAGAAAGTAACAAATACCTTAGATGTTTCAGTAAGATGTATGTGTTCTGAAGATGGTACAACATGCACTTAATATCGAGAATCCTATCAGGCAGGGTCCAGTGGAAAAACCACAGTAGGTATTGCTTCAGAGGGAGTTAATAGAAGGAGGCTGAAGTAGCAAAAAGGGACCTCGAGGTAGCAAATAGTTTAGGAAGCAGGTGTAGTGCCTGGGATGAAGTAGCATTCCCATAACATGGGAGCCCACAGGAGAGGTCTTCACATCTCTGGAGGAGATGCCACACCAGTGCTCTGGGGAAGGAGACACCCAGCTAGTGGCTGGTGCTTAAGTCTGATCAGGGAAGGACACTGGCGCATACACTATTAACGGGGCTACAGCCACTAGTGCTGGCCCTTCCATGGCCGGTGCCGGAGCAACCAGCTTAGATGCTGACAGGAGCTAGAAAAAGGGAAGTCTCTTCTCTTGCTGCCATCCATTCTCCCACCACTGCCTCCTTCTCAGCACCCAGCCAGCCCTCAGGGAAGGAAGGGCCACAGGGTCTGCAGGGCCCAGCCCCAAGAGGACAGAACAGCATAGAAGGGTGGGCTTGGATCTGGAGAGGAAACTTCCTACCATAATGGCCCCAAGGTGTGGCAGCCCCAGCCCTGCCCTTGGCCAGCTATGGCATAAGAGAAACCACCCTGTTAATCTCACCTGGAGGCTAACTGTAAAATTCCATCAAACCCTTGACCCTTGAGTAACACAAATCCAGTTACATGTGGATTTTTTTTCAACAAATACTGCAGGATCGCATGATCCCAGGTTGGTTGAACCCACAGATGTGGAACTCACAGGGGAAACACAAACAGGAGAAAAGACTATAAAATTTATGTGGGGCTTCCCTGGTGGCTCAGTGGTAAAGAAACTGCCTGCCGATGCAGGAGACCTGCCAATCAGTTCGATCCCTGATCCAGGAAGATCCCACATGCCTCGGAGCAACTAAGCCCATTGTTGTTCAGTTGCTAAGTTGTGCCTGACTCTGCAGCCCCATGGACTGCAGCACGCCAGGCTTCCCTGTCCATCACCATCTCCCAGAGCTTGCTCAAGCTCATGTCCATTGAGTCAGTGATGCCATCATATCATCTCATCCTCTGTCATCCCCTTTTCCTCCTGCCTTCAATCTTTCCCAGCATCAGGGTCTTTTCCAGTGAGTCAGCTCTTTGCATCAGGTGGCCAAAGGATTGGAGCTTCAGCTTCAGCAGCAGTCCTTCCAGTGAATATTCAGGGTTGATTTCCTTTAGGATTGACTGGTTTGATTTCTTTGCTGTCCAAGGGACTTAAGAGTCTTTTCCACTAAGCCCATAACCCACAACTCTGAGCCTGTGCTCTAGAGCCTGGGAGCCCGTGTGCTGCAACTCCTGAAGCCTGTGAGTCCTAGAGCCCTTCTCTGCAACAGAAGTCACTGCAATGAGAAGCCCAAGCACCACAACTGGAGAGTAGCCTCCACTCCCCACAGCTAAAGAAAAGCCCGCACTGCAGTGAAGACCCAGCACAGCCAAAAAGAAAAAATGATTTTCAACTGCACAGGGTGGGCGTCCCTAAAGCCCCACATTGTCCAAGGGATTACTCTAGTTCTCATTGCCTATGATTCTGAATTGATTCCCAAGTCTAAGATGACCTCAGTGAACCCCCCAGTCCAAGCAGATGGCTGTGATAGGGGTAGTTTCTGGGAGATCTGCATTCTGATGGTGTGTGTGGTAAGAAGGTTTGAACTTGTGTAAATACAAGCCAGTCCCACTGGGAGCTGTCATCTCCTTCCTTCATCTCCACGCTCCTTTACTGAGATGAGGACAAGGATTGGCCGCAGTGATTCATGGCTCGTCTCCAAGGTTACCTTACATTCTCTGTTGTCGGTGCAGAAACTGTGGGGAAGGCAGGTAAATACCTAGTTCTCTTCTATTTATAGCCTGAAACTCTGCTGAGAGGAGGTAAAACCTTACAGTCATTTTAAAACCCGGGAGTGGCATCTACAAAGGTGGCCACTTCAGCTGTTTGCACTGCCCTGAAGTGTGGGGCCGAGAATGCAGCCCACGGGTCTGTGCGCTGAGCGTGTTCCGACACAAAGCCACTCCGCTCATGAATGGAGCAGCCGTGAGGTTGGGCTGGAAAGCACGGCCTAGCATTTTTGCAGTGTTTCAGTCCTGAAGCATAGACGCTGCGTAGGCGGTAAGAAAAGCAAACCATCCACCCCACATTAGACTGGTAACTGATCTTCTTTGCTTATTTTTCTCGAATTTACTCTAGGTGTTCCCAAAGGCAGCTGTTGTAATGGAAAATTAAAGATCAAGCATGGAATGGATGGGGTCGGGGAACTATTTTCAGGTTTAGCCGGAGTTCCATGAGGCTTCTTACCTTTAAGTGTCTTTTGTCGCCTGTAATCAATTTATTTATGAAGAGAGAATTTCAAATCCCAGAGTGTAAGTTTTACTCATCCTTTTGTCCTGCTTTATTCCTACAGGGTCAATCAGCCTCTTTTTGATCACGATTTCTTTCTATTTTAACAACTTAAGTTCTTTAAATTGCTCAAATGTTAAGAAGGAGATACACATGCCACAAAAGCTCTCTTAAAAATACACTCTTATCTACTCATCTAATTGCTTCATAGTTTTGACTGCTCCTTTTTTATAATTTTTTAAGTTTATTTTTAATTGAAAGATACCTGCTTTACAATATTGTGTTGGTTTCTGCCATACATCAACGTGAATCAGCCATGTGCATATATATGCCCCCTCCCTCTAGAACCTCCCTCCCACCTCGCACCC